TCTTCTTTATTTCCATGATCATTTACATGGTAGATTCTCACTGAAGGCACCAAAACCATGAATGAATACATGTGGAATGTAAAAAACAAAAAAATAAACTCAGAATAAGTCAACTTACTTAACTAAACAAAGGGTGGCTATCTTAAAAAATGTAAGACAGCCACCCTTTGCTTTGAACCTTGGTTTGTACTTAGCACTTTTGTTAAAACCATTTCAGGAGACTTTATCATAAAGCTCATTGACAGAAGGTCAAAGGTTTGCAGCACTGTCAAAAAAGCAAAAGGTGGAAACTTATTTGAATATGAGTATTTGAATATAAAATATATATTTAGTTATTTACATTTTTTCTTCCCTTCATAATTTCATATATCTTGAGTCATATATTTTATATTTTCCATATGTATATAAAATGTAGAAATCAGTAAACAAAAACAAAAACAACAAAAACATTGAATGAGAGGGTGTGTCCACACTTGGCACAGACTGGTAGTGTATGTGTGGTTTTATGATGGTTTTGATTAACATTGTTTAGGATGGACAGAAATTGTGTTTTGGCGTCCCTGCATGTCTACAGTACACACATTGAAAACTTGATAATAAAGAATCTTGAACCTTGGTTATACATAAACCAATTCACTGAACAACTTGTTTTTTCAGCCATGGGGGAGAAAGTACATAAAACTGCAGTGGAAGCAAACTTCTTGTGGTCGTAGCCAGGGAAAAAAGTGAGAACTTATGGTTTGGTCAAGTCTACCCCAGTTTGTTTACGCCCACATCCGAAGAGGAAATGTCTTTCATGCGAGACCACAGTTCACATGACAAAAGCACTGTCTCTTTCCAACTTGCTTATGAGGTTCACTAATGTGTTAAGGACTAAAATGGTGGAGCATGATTTTTCAGTTAATTAACCCTACATTATTAGTCTGTCTACATCTCCAATGCCCAAAATGCTCAGTTCCACATGTAACTTACTGGTAGATTTAAACAGTACCTTTTACCTTTTGTTGAGATTGGCAAATCTAGGGCTGGAATTATCCAAATGATTCTTGTGAACGTGTATGGAGTATAAAAACACTGAGGAGTACTTCCTGTATTACCACATGACATCACAAGTGTTTTTTTTGTATTTTTATTTTATTTTTTTTTATTTTTTTTTGAGAGAGAGAAGAAAAACAGCCTAAATATGCAAGGTTTGCATTTGCCCTTTTGGGGGTGTTTAAATTTGTGAACAAAACACAATTCCAAGTATGTTTTTGATGAGGAAACAACATTATAAGTGTGTGCACTGTGAGCACTAAAAGTTTAAATATGTTTATATAAACATATTTTTGATCTGTTTTGTATGCCCATGTAAATACTTACTGTAACTGGGTATTTGAATGTTAGATGTACCTGTATTTTAACAAAATGACTTGATACATGAATTTATGACCATCTGGCAGTGGGGACTGCCGATGAAAACTAACCTTTTGTCTAATTCTAATTATTGTAATGTTTCTTAATGTACACTGTCCCACTGAAAACTAACGAACTAACTAACTAAATAGATAAATAAATAAATAAAACATTGATCAGAAAATATCCCACAGCACCACAGTCTAGTGTACCTCTATTGTTGTCTAGTGTTCCGTATACTGTCAGCAGTCATATCCTGTCATTTATCCAGGCTACATGTTGGACCTGCTGCGGACCCAGGGCCGGAATGGAGCCGTGGCATTATTGGACAGTTTGATGATCCACTATCCCACTCTGTACACCCAAGTGACCGGGCGCAAACCCAGCATCGAACCGTCACGCTTCAGTGGTCTGTCTTATATATATATATATATTTTTTTTTTCATGCTTTAAAGGCATGTTGTACTGTGCACTTTTGACAGTAACAACAAAAATTGACTTTAAAAGTACTATGAAGCTTCTCTAGTAGAGGGCCCATCACCTGCTTGTCTCCATGTCCCACAAGATGTCATTGAAACTGTCTATCGAAGTCAAGACAAGCAGGTGACAGCACCAGTCCTATCTGTAGAGAGGTGATCTTTCTCTCAGTATGTATGTGGGAAAAAATGTATTTGTTATCGTTTAATGCCATACTGTGGAACATGCCAAGCAAATCTCTCATGTGGTGGCACCCCCAATCTGAAAAATTACATGTTACACCATGCACTTCTCTCAGTAACAACAAACTGGCTTTAAATCAGTGACGTTATCAGTAAATATTTAACTGTACATTTTATGATGATTTACATAAAGCTGCTGTGGCCCCATCACCTCTTGTGTTATAACATTAATATAACATGGCCAGATGGTTATGATGGAACAAACATATGCAAACTACTTATGTCACATTGGCTTTACAACGCCTTTTTCCCACAACTGTTGAAATATTTTTGGACTTGAATGCTGTCCTTTGTCCTGCTTTAAAATTGTCTGTTGTGTTCTGAGCCAAGTGCAGAATCACTAATATAGATTTCACATTGATTAAGGTCTATGTTTCAATTTTAGACACATTTACACAGTTCATCAAGAAAAAAGTGGTTTTGGTGTTTAGTAGCCCTGTAAATTTCTAATGGGATTCAGTAGTTTTTGGAAATTGCTACCATTCAAAGTGAGATTTGGAAATAGTTGTTAGTTTTGCAGCTCTGATTTCTACTAAATGATATAAGGAGCAATTTGAAAGGCTTGCCATATTTTAGTAAATCAAAGTTACCCTAAAAGGATGCAATAAAGCTTACATTTTCAATTACACTCTATAATTTGGCAAGCATGAATTTCTTACAGTTGATCCAATCCCATTAGTAATGTGTTTTTGTACTATGTTTTTTTGTTACATCTACACAGGTCTGATCAAGTACTCAGAGCTAACAGAGTACCTGGTCCGGGCCGTCACTGGGATGCAGAAGGAACTAACAGAGGCACGCTCGGAGGCAAACCGCATGACTGCCCGTTGCAAATCTCTGGAAACCGAAATCAGCCAAATCTTGGAGCAGGAGGAGAAGACCAGATACCTCCAGACGGAAAACGAACGCATGCAGAGGCAGATCAGGACCTTACAGCGAGAGATCACCAAAATGAAAGATGAAAAATGTGATTTCTATGTGCGCTACACGGCCACTATAGAGGAGAAATCTGCTCTCAACATGCGCCTCCATGACCTTACGCTGCAGGTACACGTTCTGTGGACAATACAAAATAACACAACCGGGTCTGTTCAATACAGTATACAGCACTAATCAGTCTTATGTTTCCTCCCTGCAGTAAGCACAAAGTTGAAATTCCTTGGGGTCTATTCAAAAGATTAGTCTTGAACCACTTATGATACGATCTACTGGCGTGTAATTTCAACCATGTGTGTCTGAAAACTATCTAATCAAATCTGACATATTTCCATTATTTATTTTCATACACTGTAACAACAAGACAATGTGGGGAATCAAATCTTTATTTCTCATGTGTATCAGACCTGTAGGTTACATAACACTCACACACATTGACTACAACACCACTGACACCATTTTGAGGTACATTTTGTTTTGGTTTGTTAATTGGCAATGGGCACGGTCTCAGTAGTTCATCACTTGAATTCAAAGATTAACAATTCAGATTTGCCCTTGCATCCACATTTTGAAGATTTGAAGATTGAAATTACCCAGTGCACCCTGTTGTGCATAATGTTGATATTTTACAGCTGATGTCATCAACATTAGACTTTATTAGAGTTTAACGTGAGCACAAGTTGATCAGAAAGAGCCGATTTTATTGGAACTGTAATAACATTTTTGTTGAAAATCAAACACCTAAACAGGACCATGGATGTTTTTATTGATCACAGGCTCCTGAAAATGTTTTGTTTTGAGTTTTCTTAAAACTTTTTTGACAGTGTTTTCTAATGTGTGCATTGTATCAGTATGGTAACCTGTAATCAACTGAAGTCAATAGATATAGCATCTGGTATGACCCAGTAATAATAATAGTACAAATGAACATTACATATCATTAACGTTACGTATGATTTTCACATTGCTTGTTTCATATTGTTGCAGGTGTACCAGCTTCAGACAGAGTTGCAGAAAGCTCAAACTGAGAATGAATACCAGAAGAGGTGCTCTTTAAGGTGTATGTCATCACTAAATGCTCCCCAACTGCAGGAGGAGGTGTGGAGTCTACGCTGTAAGCTGGAGAAGGCCGAGAAACTAGACCCAGTGAGAAATCATGACTTTAATTAATATTGTTGTTATTATTACTATTATTCTTAACGTTGTAATGTCTGTGTAAGGCCCGTAATGACATCTTGGCCCAGGACTTGGCTGAAGCCATTGGGAGTCAGGCAGAATTGGTCGAGCAGCTCAAGAGCTACAGAGAGGAGAACGAGCAGCTGCACAGAGACAAGCAAGTGGTAGGCAATAGAGATATATGACTTTAACAATGAATGATGATAGGCCCCATTCACACCTGTAGCCTGGCAATGTTCACGGTCTGAGTGAGGGTCACTGAGTGTTCTGCCATTTTGGACCTGGCGATTTTATGGGAACTATGTGTGAATGTGGCTATAAATTAAAGATAATGGAAGCAATTTGTTCTCCTACTAAAATACCTTTAACTGTGTCATATTCAGGAGTCAGGACACAGACTTTGCCTGATTACTCTCAGTATATTCTCAATTTAATCATAGGATCTAGCAAGCTTATTCTATAAAGATAAATAGTTTTATCAACGCAAATGCCAGGTCAGAAAGGCTTAATTCACAGTGTTGTTTTATTGAAGCTTTACAGCTTTATAAGCCATATAAGGTTTTATTTGTAGTCTTTAAGGAATCTACATTTTGAGTTTTTGTTTTTGACACTGAACTTTGAAATGCTTGTCTTTACTTATAGATTTCACTGAGATTATTGCTGATATCTTGTGTATGTGTGTCCTTAGCTGTTGGAGCAGAAGGAGTCCCTGGGCCTGCAGGTGCAGCAGCTGAGTCTGGACTGTTCCATGCACGAGCAGAAGGAGACGGTGATACAGGAGCAGATGAGAGAGCTACAGGAAGAGAGACAACAGGTCAGCAGTCCCCCTCTGCTTCACTTTAGTATACACCTGTTTTTTCCAGTAGCCTACACTCACGCATCAGGTATCACATGTTCCCCTGCCCAACTCTCACACCTCAGGTCTTTGTTCTGTTTGCCTGTGTAGAAAATTGCATAACTTTGAAAAGGAGCCAATCTCTACATCTGTGGTATTTACTTACATACGTGTACCATCTAGTTGAAAAGGCTGTTAAAGATTTATTTATTTTTTCCGCTGATTTCAGCATGTTACATATCAGAAAATAAGACTGTGAGCAGTTTAGGGTCCATAAATAATTTGAACATTACTGCAGTTCCAAAGAATGTGATCATGCTTGGGAGTAATGAATGATTCACTTGTTTCACTTGATTCATTTTGCCCCAGACATGATACTGTCTGATTTATAAAACATTTTGAGAAATCTACCATTGCCCATAGTAGGCTTCTTCTGTTCCGTTTAGGCAACTACAAAATATTTTGTAGCCCTACCCCAGATCCTCTTTCTATGTCACATTTTTGTGGTGAGGAAAAAATACGTGTGAATTATTGTGGTGGTCCAAAATGTTGCATATAACAGGAAGTGTAACCCTTGAATGTAGAGTAACATTGTGCCTTATGCCTTTGTAGGCGTACCGGCTGAGAGACGACGCCCAGGCCATGATCACTCGTATCCTGACGGAGAAGGACAGTCTCCGAGCACAGCTGGTGGAGCTCCAGGAGAGACTGTTCAGTATGAAGGCTGTGCATGGCTCCAGAGGGAGGAGAAAGAGCTCAGATGTATGTAATGTCCATGTGTGTATTGAACAGGAGATGTGTGGCTGTATTGAACATGTGTAATTTTGTGAATGTGTGTAAGACAAAGACTGAGCAGTCTGAATTGTTCTTATTGGTGATTAGTGCATATACTGAAAAATTGAGATTTCAGCTATTGTTCTCGGGATGTGCAAATTTCGATTCTATCTATTAATATAATGACAGCAAAAAGAGCTGATTAAAAATCAACTTAACAGAAATAAACATGGGGATAAAGTGATATTTCTGCACTTTTGAAGTTAGTAATTCATAGTCCATTCAAATTTTGTTCACCAAGATATTTACAGACAAATTTGAGCTCCTTCCTGATGCATTATCAAACTGACTGAGTGTTATTATCAAGATAATGCAAAAATGCAAAAGAAAATGTATTCAATATCACACAACTTATGTCCCTTCCCTCTCTCCCTCCTCCATTTTCAAAAACATTGTTAGCTATTCTCTATATTATTCATCTCCAGGATTTGGAGAGCACCTGTGGCAGCCCGATGTCCAGTTTTGAGGATTCATCATCATTGCCAACTCGACGCAGACTTTGCCGCACCAATGCAATGGATCCGACTTCTATGAGTTCTCCCATTTCTGAGGTATGTGAGTAGGAATCTAGCCGGGGTAGAATACTGGACCAATAATTGTGGGGTCAGTGAAATTGTATTGTATATATGTTATCATTTCTTAGGGAACATTTCTATCAGTGATTGTGTTTATAATTATGTTTAAAGTGTGAAGAAGAGACTGCATTGTCCAGTGTTCGCTCTCGAAATGCAGAGCCGCCCTGTCCAGAGTCTCTTCGGCGGAGGGAGGATGCGCTTTACCATGACAACAGGTTAATTTTCACATTTAAACAACAGACGTATATGCCCAGTCAGATTCAAATATATAGTATCATACTGGTATTCAGATGGAACAGAAAGGAGTCAGTGATAGTCATCTGAAACAGTAAAAATATGTCAGTGTCTATGCTTATATGCACACCAAAAATCAGCTCATATCTGATTGGACTTATCAGATTATTGAAATGTCACGTAAACAGTTACATCTGAAGCGAGTTATCTGATTTCTGATTGTCTACACTTGTGCAAGGGCAAAATGATGTGGCGAATACAAAAGAGAAAATGCTAAAGATTGAAAGAGTTATGGAAAATATTATGTTTTAATATACAATAATATTTGTTTTCCCTATAGTGTGGAAAATGCTGAAACTGATTCTCTTTTGGACGACTTTGTTTTCCTGCCTTTCAGTAAGTATACAGTGAAGAGACAGAAGTTTTATATGTATATTTATTTATTTAGTTAGTTAGTTACCAAGCCAGATATTATTTAGATATGAAAGCATCTGTTTTCTGTCCTTACTCTTTTTGCATGTGTGCAGTTTGGGTTTGTCATCTGAGTGAAGGGTGCAGCATTGTTTTTTCTTCCTCACTATTTTTATCTTCTGAAAATAGTTGAAACATGGCCAAAATTTTAAAGTGAAGCATTAATCTGTAAATCCCCATGCATTGACAAATCATTAAACAGGTTTTCTCTTGTTTAGCTGGCAATGAGGGCAAGGAGACAAGCAAGAATTCCATAGAGGATGGCACCAACAATGATAGGTATGCTCTCTATTCAGCACTGTTGAAATCACTCTGATGTAAACATGTAATATAATAACGTGATTATTATTATCTTCTAATGTTACTGCTGCTACCAAAATAGACCATGCTGGTCTTGTGTGAGCCTGGTGTATTAGACAAGGTGGAGCCACTTTGACTCTCTTAATACCAGTTAATACAATGTGTAATTAAAAGACAAATCTCATCGCAATGGTCTGTCGTCACTAGGGTTATAAAAAAAACGCAATACCCAGTTACTAATTGATACTAAAACATACCACATACTGCGACATACTACATACCAATGTGAGCAAGTATTGATATTGAAAAAAATCACAAAGTTGAATCTTTTCAGAATGGTTTTAGAGTGGTTTAATTATTAGACATTGTAAGATTGTAATAGTTAGGAAAAGTATTATTTTTGCATGGAAAATCAATTATGTGTCAATTGGGAAGATCAATCAATTATTTAAATAAATGAAAACATTGTACAAAACCACAAAACTAAACTAAATTCTATTTTTTTCCAGTCTCTCTCAGACTTCAGCCCCTCCTTTCCTCTTGCGCTCTCGTCCCAAAGCGATCCGCATCAACGGCCGTGTGCTGACCATCTCGTTCCAGGGGGAGACTCTGCTGCAGCAGATCTCTCTGGTGGGTGGGAACAAGACTGGAGTGTTCGTGCACCAGGTGACTGAGGGCAGCGCCGCTCACATGGTCGGGATCAGCCCTGGAGCTCAGATAGTGGAGGTAAGATTATATGAGCACATAACTGCAAATATTTCAAAATTAAGGTGGGGGTTTAATTGTGTTGATTTTATGTTCGGAGTTATAATTAGTATGTATCCTTGTTCTATACAACTAAACGTATTTAAAGGTACATTGTGTAACTTTAGGTATGGAGAGAGGAGGGCTTCACTCTTGATGTCTGGAATGTTCTACAGTATGGCATTAAGCATTATATATCTAGCATTTACTTAAGAGGTGGAGCTCAGCAGTGACAGCCAGCTCCGGTTCTGGACGTAAATATTCCATTCATTTTTCCCATCAACTTGTTGAAAAATTCTAATATTAAGAGTTCAAAAACATCACTTAAGCTAACCAGCTACGTGGTAAGTATTACCCAGAACGTGGTTGTTTTAAGACCCAAAAGTAGTTTAACATGCAAGATTCTGCTAAATGTTTTAACTTTGTGGTTTATAAAGAAACATATTTTAAATAAAATTATAGCGCTGGTGGTTAGTTGCCACGTAGCTGATTATCCCCAAGAAAGGTTTCTAACTTATAGTTTAGATATCATTTTCTGAAAGTCTGTGAGAAAAATGAATGCAAAATTCAGTCTGAGCTCCATTGTTCAGAAATTTCCTTGAAAACCATGTCCTTACTGTGAGCAGACTCGACTCTCCACATATACATATCCATCTTTCTTAAATCACTGTATTCTATTATAAAGTTTTGAAGACAAGTTAGAGATCATTAGTGTGCAGTCTCTAAACATTCCTTCATGTTTTCCAGGTGAAATATGAGCAGAAAGAAAAGGCTTTGAGAATGGTCCTAGAGGATTCGACGTTAGAGGAGGCGGTTTGGGCCCTGGGTCAAGTTACAGGCTTCTGCCACCTCTCTCTGCGGCCCAGGCCAAATGGTACCAGTGTTTACCACTACCACTTACACTGTGTAAAGCATTTTTGGCTCTTGTCTTTGAAATGTGCTCTGTAACTAAAGTCCTAGATTTATTTATATATGTATACATAAAATAACTCAGATAACTTTTACTCCGGTGACAAAATTGCAATCCTACCACCATTCCATTTGAACAAAATGTACTTTCACACAGGCTTATTCAAACAAGAGCTGTATTCTTATGATTGATGTGTTTGTAGTTGTCATGAAAACGGCTGGCACCAGCAGTTGACTTGCACGACAATTATAGCACATTGTTCATGAGATTAGAGACATGCCTTGGTTTATGACTGCTATGAAAACATACAACATGAGAAAGGAACTGGTTTTGCAAAATGTTTTAAAAATAATTACGGTGTACAAAAAAAGTGCAGAAATGTACATACAATTTAATATACTGTGTTTCAGTTCCTGCATTTTGTACACTATTATTTTAAACATTTTAGTAGTTTAAGAAGATATATGATGTTTTTGGAGATGTAACTATAAATCTTTATTTTACATTTTGATCATTGCAAACTGTAATATTGATCTAATACAGCTTAACCAACACTTAACATGTCTTCTTTAATAATATCTGGTAGTGAGTACTGTGTATCATTATGGAACAGAAGTTAGTAGGCCTCTTCTTTCGTTCAGACTACCAGGCCTTAGTGCGGCAGCTCCAGAGCCGTGAGATTTCCTCTGGAGACTCCTTCTATGTGCGGGTGAACATGTCCCTGTCCTGTTGCAACGGCACTCTGGCTGTGTCCTGTAACGATATCCTCCACGTCACAAACACGTGGCCGACAGGTGCACCTGACTCTTGGGAGGCCAGTCAGGTGCACCCCTGTCAGCTGCTGCACCTCCAGAATGGGACTGTGCCAAACTATTTCAGGTTGGTAGACTTAATGGAGCTTAACAAAGGACAGGCACTTCTAGATTTGGAAATAAAACACCTTTTCAGCTTCAATGACATTTTGAAGAACTCTAAGTATTAACGATTTAAAGACACATTTGAGAGTAACCTGCTGTGGGGTAACTTATGACCCTAACCCAATTATATTCGATCAAAATTACTGTGAGAATAATGAATGAGAATTTCACTAGAAAACAGAGCTCTGTGTCTACTGCCATTGTTGTTTTTAAAATACATTCATAAATATGCTTGATTCACTCACCATGTTGTACACCTTTCTTTCCATTATATTTCATCTTTTAAAATTTCTAGCTTTGTTTTTTTTTTTGGATCACACAGAGCACAAGGACTTTTGATCCAGGCACTTGAGGATATGACTTTCCAAACCAAGTCTCAAAAGGTAACATCATGAATCAACATTACTCGTGCACAAGTGGCCAACATCTATAATCTCTATTTTGTGTTCTAGTCTGGACGAGCAGTGCCCCAGAAACAAAGTGTTCGAATCGTCAGCACTGGTCGCCAGGGGAGGAATCCACTGTGGGTCAGCTTTGAAAATGAAGGGAGTCCAGAATCCGGTGTGTGTTTAAATATTATTTTTTTATTATTCAGGGTAACTGCGGGGACTTAAAAGGGTCTTAAATTTCATGTTCCTAAATTGAGGCCTTAAGAAGTCTTAAATTATGTGTCCAAGTTTTATTTTTTTCATAAAGGTCTTAAATTTCATTAGCCTATTTTTCTGTATACTCAATTGGGCTGCAGTGCAATGTGAAATGGAGGGAGGAAGAAAACAACAACGTGAAATCACCTAATGCGAATGAACATCTATTTTGGAGTATGCACAAACAATTGCACCGGCGGCAGTGAGTAAACAATCAGTAGAGTGGAGGAAGTCGTTGGATGGATCATGGAGAAGTGTAGGTTTAATCCACAGTGGCTTTTAGATTCTAGATATATCAGTTGGTTTGTCATTATTAGAATTGGATCTGGAGTTTTTCACCTGCATAATGGGTGTTGGTCTTAATTTTCATTTAAGTGGTCTTAAAAAGGTCTTAAAAAGTCAAAAATTTGGGGTAGTCAAACCTGGGGATACCCTGTTATTATACTAATATGTTATATGGTCATGTACGACATTTTTCTCATGTATTTGAGCAAAATTTGCCTCAATACAGATAATATATAAGTAGCTCTTGGGGTAAAAATAAGTATGTCTAATTAGAAAGCGTTTTATTGTCCATTAATCAGAAAGTGTGTGTTAGCATGCTAGTTGTTGTTAACACCGTCATGAGCTTTACTCAGCATGGTGAGTAATCAGGGTGTTTGGAATGCATAAGGTAAGAGAGGAATAACTTTGGGCCATTGCAAATTGTTTAAAATCAATTAGTTCTGTTTTTCATATTTTAAGACATCAGACGTCATGGAAATCAGGCATAGCACCTTAGCCTTAGACTTAGACAAACTTTATTGATTCACAAAGGAACACAGTAGCTCACTCATCACAATATAATATGATAACCAAGAGCAAAATATAACTGATAATTAAATAATTCAAAAGAAGTAGCAAAAATAGCAAGAGACTGGTGTCAAATAAGGCATGATTATATAAGTAAAAATTAAATATAGAAATTTAATAGTAATACAGTAATAATGCAATGTAACAAATGTAACAAATGTAACAAATTTCAGTTATGTACAAGAGGTTGTATTGAGAAACAGTGCAAAGATGAAATAGTGATTTAAACATACAAAATAATACAGAATAATTGCACTTGCATTTTTTAAACTTATATTTTCTCTACTTGTAGGTGACAATCCAGCCAAGGGTTGTGTGACTCTCATGCCCTACACCTTGGTCACACCGCACTTCCCCCCTGTGTGCAGACCCATCCTGCTCCTGCCCTCCATCTTGGGGCGTGTCCTGGAGAAGAAGCTGGTCACATGGGAGGGGTTTCAGCTTCTGGAGCCTGGTAAGATGCGGGACATGATGTGAGAGGTTCTCAAAGTATGGCACAGGGACAAGTTGTGGGTTTTTGTACCATTCATTTAGAATCAGTTAAATGTCTCTCATTCTTGCTAAAGGAATGAATTAAATATTTTGACATTGTTTTAGGGTGCATTCACATTTGAACACATCAAAATTGGGGTTAAACTTGGAATAGACCTGGAACTAAAACTGGAATACAATGTGACCGAACTAAATCTACTAAAGTAAGGATCATTTGTCCTGATTCAGCCCTGGTTTCTGTTTAGTCCTGATGTCGACTTGGTTTGGTCCTGGTCTTGTCTTGGTTTAGTATTCCTCTTCTAGTAATAACTGTAATGCATTAGTCTTATATAATGCTTTTCAAGAAATTGAAAGTTGCTTTACAATTTTGTTATATTCTTGGTTAGAAATAGTTTTATCCAGTATTAGTCCTGGTTTTGAAGTTTCATAATTCCTGTCTGTTTTAGAATTCTTATTTTAGCCTCCTCATCCAACGCCACTTTATTACACTTTGTAAACACATTGTTAACCGTTTATGGCTTTGCTGGGAAATCAATCAGCTATAGAAAGGAAAGGGTCTATTAATACAGCAAACATTGTCACTGCTCCGAGTGCGTATCTAGTATGTACTATTTTTAGACTAACAACACGAAAATACACAGAAAAATATCAGACAACCAAGTGTGTACATATATTTATCAACCCCTATCAGCGTTTACAAAAGTGATAAATAAATCAAATGTATTCAGTTTGAGCATGAATGTTTTGTTAGCAGTGCATTCATCATTTGTATGACGTCATGGTGTTTACTGTCCTCATTGCTTCCATTGTTTGTTTTTCAGAGACGCTGAACCCAAGTGAGCATGCCGCCCGCCTGCAGAGGTCTGAAATACTGGAAGAGTGTGATCAACCAGAAAACTCTTGCTATACCACTCAGAGTGTTGAGAAAATTATGAAAAAGGTACCTGGGTATTTGTTGATTTTTTTACTGAGAGTTAATTGAATGGAGTGGGTAAAATGTTTGAGTTAACATGATTTGCTTACTTTACTATCCACACTTGACTCCTGCCTAGTAATATATACTCAAGAAGAGGAGATGGGCTTTCACAAAACACACTCACAGAAGTTGGTTTAGCATGTCTTATGTTTAATTATTACATTCAATTGTTGGTCACTGATTGTACCCTGACCATAATACAACATGTACAACATCATAGGGAGAGTTGTGCAGGCTGTGTACAGATTATAACCCCTTCAGTGTGTTACATACCTGCCAACTTCCAACAGTTAGGTTCACAAACACAAAAAGCTGTAGATTAAGAGGAGGTTGGATGTCTCAGACAGAATCCACTTTAGTACTCAAAAACAATCCTATGACTTTCTTACTTTGATCCAATACAAAAATGAACCATTTCACTGTTTTCCACAGGGGATTCACTGTGTGCTGCCCCTGGGTCTGGACTGTGTCCGCAGACTGCACAGAGCAGACATTTACCCTATCATCATCTTCATTGGACAGAGTGCCCGCAGTGCTCACAAGCTCAGGTATAAAACTCTGCATTCGATTCAAGTGTATCATCAAATCATAACCAGAAGCTAAAATAAAAGATAGTCAAATATTAGTACATCTATGAATTAAAATGCATTTAGATGACGCACGTGAACTCTTGGAATACAATAAAAAGTGCTATAATTGTTTAATAGACAGATCACACATTTTTACTGTGCTATTCTGATGTTCTATTGTGCTAGTATCTCGAAGAGCAGGTTGTCTGACGTATTACAGCAGTGATGACAGATCTGTCCTCTCTCTCTGTAAATGTGTGACAGATCCAAACTACAGAAACACGGACACTCTGAAGAGCAGCTTTTGGCCTGTTCTCGCAGTGTAGAGCCTCTTCTGGACAAACTGCCCTGTCTGTACCACAGCATGGCCCCAGACTCCTGGTGCGACTATAACTCCCTGTTTACTCGCCTGCGCACTGTCATCTGGGAGGAGCAGAAGAAGATTGTGTGGGTGGAGCCTGACCTGTGGTGAACTCAACACAGAAAACAAAGGGAAATATTTATATTTGGGTTTTAGAATAGGATTTACAACATGTTTGTGAATTACTGTATGTATCTATGATACTTGTAACATGGTATATGACTTTCATAATGTTACATCACTATTTGGTGACAGGCTTAAATGTGTACCACATCAAAGCTTTTCTTTACTCATTTTGGGTTTTATAGCATTACCAGCTGATAGCTGCTTCTTAGCTTTTTATATTTACAGCAACACAATGTAGCACAATGTCTTAACACTTTATACAAAGGTACATATTATGTATTAAAATAATATGTTTATCATGTTGCAGCAGTTTCTTTTTATAGACTGTGAATTTCCACACCACTGGGATCACCACAAACAGACAACAACTTCTCATATGAAAGACAGGGGAACCCAGAGTCTATTGTAAACAAAAGAGGAAGAGGAAGGCAAACCTGTCATTTAGAACATCAGTGGGCCTATTCATTGTAATAATGATCTTAAATGGTATGTTTAGTGATAAAGATGTTTTGTGTAACTTTTCTGGTGGAGGGTCTGTCAAACACTTTTCTTCATGAAGATGTTATTGTTTTGTCTGGACTGTTCCACAGAGTGTTATTAAACATTTTTTTATCTTCATGTTGACCAAATCAGTCTAAGTTACAGGCCAGAACTGTGGAGAGGCGACCCGCTCATGGTTTGTTTTTCAAGGCGTTGTCGATACAGGTGTAACTGAATAAATGTAAGGTAGAGCTGTTTAATGCCATAGTGTGGAACATTTCAGGCAGAGCAATGACATCTCTAAAGCAGGTGACGACCCTAACTACAAAAGTTACAATATGCTCCTTTAACTATCAATGTTACATAACATACTTAAAACAATACTTTATTATTTTTATTGATCAACTACGTCATTACGTCAGCTACTAATTACAACACACGTGCGTCAGGGCTTGTTTTACGGTGAAATACAGCGTGTAACTGGAGAGAAACCAGTATGTACTTAAAAATGACACTTGTCTGACTGATAGCTGGTCATAAGTTTTAACATCGACTGCTTTGAGTGAATTTCGTACAACTTGAGTTTCTCGGGAAGAAAACCCCGGGGGCATGTCAGGTAAGAATTCCTCTGGCAGAACCGGATTATTTGTTGTTAATGGTAAATTTGATCGAAAGAACGAAGGTGTCCGTAGCTCAAAGCTGTTGTTGACATGAGCCCTTTGGCGCGTTCTGATAGACAAGCACTCTGCAGGCCATGATCCACTGTGTAGCACTTGTGTAACGCACATGTTAGGTGAGCCTCAGAGTGGTTCAAGAGCCCCCTGGGCCTCTTCCAGAGACGCCATGTCAACCTTGAGAATAATAAGTTAGATGTATTCATTATTTGTACATGATTCTCCTGTAGGCACAGAGTTTAAGGCTGCGTTCACATATCCAGGATCCGTTATGAGGATCTTAATTGTTGTCCTAAGGGTGGTAGGTTTCATTGTGGGTGTGTAGATTTAATCCACACAATGCGGGTAAATAATCCACTGTCAGCACTTTGGTAATTTTGGCTGTTTCGGTGGGCCGGTGAACAGTGTGCTTAGAGGGGTTGTCGGCTGTACCTTGAAAGAATTTCTAATATGGATTAACTGTTCAAAGCTATTTATTCTAATAATTGACTATTTTGGGCTGTCTTGAGCAAACATCTGAACCTAAAAATTCCCTAGTGCCAGACACAGTGGCACAGACATTCTTTACTTTTTTTTTTATTTTTATTTTTTTAACGTTGATATCTTTTTCGCAGGAAAAGTGTACTGTGACTCAAAAAGCTTGAAAAACTCTGAACTAGGCTATTCCAACTCAGGCGTGAAGGAACCTACTACGTTATAGGTTACACAAGAAATAAATCACACAATTTTGGAAGATCAATACACAGCTATCCCTCCCTTTTTTCTTTTTTTGTTAAGTATATAAACAAAATGAGCTCTTCGTCATAGAACACAGAGCCACAGTGTGGTTCCTTCGTTCGCGCACCATATGGGGGCAGCAGAGAGACGGAGATGAGCTACAGGGAGTGGTTGTTGAGGAGGACCACATTGTTCGTGCTGAGACGGAGATGAGCTGAGACAGATGAAAGGAAACTCCTCTCTCATATTTCTGACCGCAACCTCTGCACATTTTACGGTTGTCACGCTGTTTTCTGGCCCTCCTCCCTACAGCCTTTTCACTCTATCTTTCTGAACCCAGTCCACAAAAAAAGCATGCCTCATCTATGCCTTATTTTGGCCCATGATTATTACTGATCAAATGTGAAGCTTTTTTTCTAATCCTGACAAATACATTTTTTAAAGGTGCCTGGTATAAATTGTCTGGTGGAGGGTCTGCCACCTGCTTGTCGCCATGGAGATGTTGTTGCTTTGCCTAAAATGCTCCACAGTATGGCATTTAACCTATCAGTCTCCATGGAAACAAGCAGGTGATGCCATATGGCCAAGTTACTGGTCAGATTTGTGGAGAGGCACCTGTGCTCACAGTAAGAATGCAAGTTAATAAATGCTTGATCAATTTAATGCCGTACTGTGTGGAATATTCCAGGCAAAGCAACGTTTCCATGGAGATAACCAAGTAATGAACCCTCCACCAAAAAACTTACACAGTGCAACTTTAAAAAGACCTTCATATTTTGTTCTTCTCATTCATAGACAAAACTGGCAGCTATTATTGTTGTTGCTGGGAAACTACTTCAGTGATTTGTGTGTTGTCTGCTCAAATTATAGACAGTGACAGTGACAGGGAGAGGAAGGGAAGGGATACATGTACATGGACAATACGCACATCCCACACTCTGAGTGCACTCTTATTCACTCAGCAATAAAGTAACCTACTGAAAGAAAGTATAATAATAGGTATAGGAACTTGTGAAACATAAAAATGATTAACTGAAGAGCAAACGGTGCGGTGTTGTCTGCTGCATTGTACTTGTTTGCAGCTCCCCCTGTTCCAAAGAATTTTCTTTTTGGGAGACCACTAACTCGCATATACAGGCTACAGCAACCAGACTCTTTGCTGTTCTGTTTGCAGGCGCTCCTCCCTGGTTTAGTGTGAGTTTTTGATGTTTAATTGACACATTGGGTGTTCAGCAGTGTAAGTCTTGTTATTTGCATTTCCACTCATCCAAGCTATGCGTATTTGTCTCTCTGCTTTTTTGTTTTGGATTTTGCGCTTGCAGCAATGTCTCAACAATGTCTCAATAAATAATTTTCTACTGAAGTCCAAAGTGCTGCCAAATAATACTTCTTTAGGTCTTTGAAATGCGATTTAACGGTCATTTCCATTATAACTGAAGGCATTTGTTGAGTTGATACAACACTGAGTCACTGTAAAATACATAAAATTGTATACTGACTGTTCTGTTTTAGTATTTTTTTCAAGCGCGCATACAGTATAAATCTGCCATGATTTCATTCTCCACACATTCTCCAAATACTGTAAAAGTAATTGAAATTATTAACAGTTGGTGCAACATTAATAAAACAAAAGGTTTATATTCTTGTTTCTCTCTCATGCGTTGACTGGGGAATAATATTATAACCACATGAATAATTACAATTAAAGGTCAAGCCTATTTGTAGCATTGTAAACTGGTAAAAAGACTAAAGAATGTTTAATTGTAAGTAAGAGCCAGCCTGTAATTCTACTCCAGTAATGTTTGGTATTTTCAAAAACCATCTCGACTGGCTTGTTCCTCCCCTGAATCAGATTGTGCAGTCACGAGAGTTTGACTTGAACTTTGTCACCTTTCTTCTTAATCTTAGTTTCACCCTTGCATGTATTACATTTCTTTACGCTGTTTTAATTAAGAGTATTTCCTACCCCCAATGCCAGAAAGTCATTATCACGTTTTTATCTATAGATCAGTATAATTATAATGCCTTTTAATAGGTGGAAGTTCATGTTTTCTGCTGCTTCTTAAAGGGCTGACAAACAAGTGTGCACAGGCCTGGGTACATTTTTTCTTATATTGATTATCAGATTGATTTTGTTTTGTCTAATAAAAATTCTTTCAGTATTACGTTTTTGAACATAAATAATTTAGACTTTTAATCATTACCATGTAACACAAAAACAGTCCACATGCTTTTACTGATAGAGTTGGCTGTAAAACTATTTATTCACTAGCTAGGACCACGCCAACGACGACATAGTGCGAAGAAGTTTATTGATAATGTACGAAGCAAGGCAAAGATGGCTGGGTTGAGACTATGGGTGGGGGCTCCGTCTCAATCTACAATTGGCCCAGCCAGAACGGGACCCCTTCAGTCATAAGACCCCTTGTAGGGGTCTTATGACTGAAAGACAAAATAAGGGATGGGAGGGTGGGATCGAGTTCGCCGAGACAAACTGGGATGATGGGAAAGGCTGCTACATATAGGCTTCTGGGAAATTAGAGGCGTGGTCGGGGTGAGTTGTGGTTCGCTGGTGAGAGGAGAGGGCGGCTGAGGCGTGGTCCTGCTCCTGAATCTCAGTTAATCATATTAACTACATTTATTTATTATTGATGATTTAAAAAATGACTGAATCTGGATTAATTGTTCAGCCTTACTTCACTCTAACTGGTTAAATCCACCTGTCCCTCACACAAAGCTGACCAACAGGAGGAGAGGGTAGAGAGAAGTCTGTTTTTTTTTTTTTATCAAAGTATCACGCAGCTGTACTATATTAATACATGATGTGTGTTGTATTAAACTTCCTTCTGAGTGCACTTTTGCCTCTAATATTATAATCTGACCAAAGTCCTTCTCTCTCTCTCTCAGCCCGGTTTGCCCTGACCGCCACATGACCTGGAGCCGTGAGGGCCATAACATCAGACCAGAGTAGCCGGCCCACATGTGAGTGTCTCCCCCTCCTCTCATCTCCTCCCCCTCCCCTCATCGCCTTCCATCTTCTTCTCCTCTCCTCTCGCCTGACAATGCCATCCTATTTCCTGTATATGTAATATTCAAGTAACTGGAGGGATAGCACCGTCGGGCAACTCCTCCTAGGGCACCATCTTGGGAAAACATTGCAATTTTTCTGACAAGTGTTGCGATTCAATTTGTGATTTATGTTTTAAAAGTAGTTCACATTGTAAAGAAATCCTGGAGCATTCACATTTAAGAATGAAATATGAACACTGATAAACTAATCCAAGAATCCCATATATTTCAACTCAAATTCACACTCAGAAAACTTGATTTCTCCCCAAGGACAATTCTTTTGTAACTCTAATTGTGCATTTAATAATCAAAACCATGAGACAGAAATCAATGGAGAAGATGCCACAAATAAAAGAAAGTGAGAGAGAAGCTACAGTAACAGGTAACACAGAAGACCTGAAAACAAAACTGATTTCAGTTCAATTCAATATAATAATCGTGCAGCCCTACTACTATTCCCCCTCCCCTCTCTCACACATTCAGGGCTCACCTTGACTTGTCTTTTATCTTTGTACGAGCAGCTCAGATTATGGCATCATGGGAACTCTGTCAACACAACACGGCTGTGCTACTGACATATGTGTAATCCTTTGTGTTTCATAAGAAAACGTGCACTTAGACCCTCATTGTACGCGTCTGTGTTTGTCTAATAATAAGCTTAACCCTGGTGAAAGACGGGAGAGGTAAGACAGATGGTAACAGCAATATGCAGGTTGTAGTTCTTCTGTTTTTTTTAATACAGCATCTCAAAACTGATAATTGATACCATTTTATATGTAATAATAATTAGACATACACTATATTTATAACACAGATGATCAAAAATATAGACGTTTGCAGCAAGATTAGAGTTAGATGTTGAGTTAACAAATGAAAGGGATCTTTAGTCTTAACTGGATATAAACTATGCAACTGTTGGTCAGACGAAGGTGGGAGTCTGACTGCTGAAACATGTCAAATATTAGGTAAATAAGCTTATGTCTTTTTTCCTAATTGGAAGACAATTGAAACTATAACCTTATGTTGGATTCTTATTTTCACCGGCCTTCTAAAGATATGGATTTGTAAGTTTGACTCTAATGGGACCTAGATATTCTCTATTTTTAATATAACAATAATTTATCATGAGTTGAGAGGAAATTTTTCTCATTTTTGTTGATATGAATTGGTTTACTGGCTCGACACTTTATAATGTAAGTACTGGAATAAATGTTGTTTCTTCCCCAAAGAGACTATCAGTATTGGCAAGCATTTATGACATATTGGAGTGGCTGCGTTTTGAACTGTAATGTTATGTTTATGAACTGAATTGAAGAGGCAGCTTGGACGAGCTGCGCAACATATTTGACCATAAACTTTTGTCTAGTTGTGAAAGTGAATTTCTACTTTGCCATGTTTACTATTATATAAGTAGAATGTCAATTAATTTGATTTCATTTTATTATATTTTCTAACTATGTGGGGTTGGGGTTGGTTACACAACATAATACAACATAATCTTCACACTGAAATGCCTGACCAGTTTTTCAACACTGGCTTTGCTGTTGCCTCTTTTCCTTTTTGATTTTCAGTTTGAATGAGATGTATTTTTGGACAGAATATCTGCGACATCAGGACTCCCATCATGCATCCCTCCTCCGGCGTTCCTCTGCCCCCTCCATTCTCTGCATGAGTGTTAGAGCCAAGGCCGCACTGAGAAGGGTCTTTGTGTGCAGGGGTCAGAGGGGGTCAAAGATACACAAAGCCAGGGTCACAGCCAGAGCACACAGAGCAACGCAGCACTCAACACAACTGAAGTTTAGATGAAGGAAATACTGGCACAAGGCACATAAAATAATGGCCAAATTAGTAAAGCGGTGTTTGAAAATGAATGAATGCAAAACTGTAGTATATAAACATTTTTTGTGTTAGGTTTGTGAAATTATTTTTCCTTGTAATTGGTAAAAGAGGTAACATAATAACTACACTTTTAATAGCCATATAATAAATCATGAAAGACTTACACATGAGCACATGGTTTATTAAGAAGGTTCTGGTAACTACTACATTAATACATTAATACCTTAAAACCAACTCATAACCCTGACCCTAGACAGAATCAGTGAAATAAACAATTTGTTCATTATGGATTTAGTTTTTGTTCCTGCTTTATTGAAGCTAATTAATGTGTAGTAATTATGGTGGTACCAAGCATTTAATTACCTGCATTAAAAGATGTAGATCATTTGTAGCATGTCCCAACAGGGCTACCATACCCTAGTTGTTTATGGGCTTTACTGAATCAAAATTAGACCTAAATTAGAAATTGTAACTTGGTTTTTGGTCACCATTTCACAAAATAGACCTTCCACTTTTCACTTTAGTATCTTAATCAAATTCAGGGTTACTACATTTTCAGGTTGAAATTATAGTACACAGGGCTATTGAAAAATAATCTTGAGAATAAAGGTTGTGAATTCCCCCCCTCTCTTACTCTATCAGAATGGCTCTTTGGTGCATGCAGAGTGGTTGTTTTATAGCCCTGTATAAATATGAGCTGTAACGTGGAGGTAATGTCCAATAATAATCACTCAGAGTTTAGTGCCCTCCGCGGCTGCAGTGATAATGTGCTGGTCTGGAGCGCTCAGTCTATAAACAGAGACGCTGCAGGAATAAGCTCCATCTATTACCCGACCTGCTGTCACCCGCGGTAACCATCGATGAGCAAAGATAATGACGTCATTTACTCAAACCACACATTATAGTGAGCCGGCTGACGGGTTTGGGCACTAGCAGCATTGGTCACTGTGACAGTTGACCTAATTGTGATCTTTCTAACTTTGTTGTGAGAAGATTTGATTTGCAATTTCATACTTGATAATAGGTTTCAGTACCAAAATTATTTTAAAAAATCAGCATTTTCAATACAAAATAGCAGTAGTTTCTATATCACCAAGTGGTCTTATTAGAGTATAGTAATATGTTGTCAAGACCATGCTATATCTTCAAAGGAAATGTCCCATTTTGTCCTATTTGTGTGATTTTTTTTTTTTTTTTTTTTTTTTTTTTCTTTTTCTTTTTTTTTTTTTCCACGGTATTGATATTTTTTTTCTAATGAGTATAAAGTGTTAGTATTGATTAGTGTCTGGGTTTAATTTTACAACCATAGTTTATAGTGCACATTTTTATACGCATCCAGTAACATTTTATAGAAGACTGAAAAATGAACTGCTGAACCAGTATAAAAATCACATGCCTGTAAGAACATGTTTTAAGATGATTTATAGGGCTAACCATTTTTATGCATAATATTAGAGGATATTGTGTTGTTCAGTTGCTGTGATTGTAGTTGTAGATATAAGGCTTTTAGTTCATCTGAGTTTTCAAATAAGTGCCTCAGAGTGAGTCAGTGTTTCCATGGATACCGACAGTTCCCCAAGAGCTTGACTTTTACATGAACTTGAATATTCAGTGCTTTTAATCCCCAGCAGTGAGTCGACTAAGTGTTGTTGGGCTGTGCGCGCTGCCACAATGAAAGAAGTGGTCATGTCATTTAGCACATATTCATGTCTCTATTATGGCAGCTCTACTGGCTCCACTTAGAAAAACAATAGATTTTTCTCCTTTTAAACATAGGAACAACTAGGCTTACTCTGGCTAATTCTTCTTAAAAGTGTATTTTTTAGGGTAGCTGGGTGGAAACTTGTATTGTGAAATAAGGTGGAGCTTTTGCCTATTACTTTAAATAAAATATTGATGGTGCGCTATATAGATTTTTTTTGTTTGTTTTTTGTAGATATTCAAAACTTCTCATCTTCATGGATATGTTGTCCTGCGTGTAATATTTCACAGTATGGCATTAAAGCTATCTCCACGAAGAAAAGCAAGGATGCTACCAGACTTGGCAGAATTTCAAAAAACATAGTGCGCCAAAATCCACAATATTCCATGTCTACATTTGGAAATCTAATCTTTAAAAGGTCCCATGTTTGACAGCAAATTGAATGGACTGTAATGCTGTGATAGTTTGTATACTAGTGGCGTAAATAGAGCTAGCCTGCAAATAACAAGGTAACTAAAATAAACGGGACTAAATGGGCTCTCTGGATATAGTCTTTTGTACAATGGGTAACCACATACTGAGATGCTGACAGTTGTGTAAATGTAATTACAGTTAGAACGATTCTGTATTTGAAGTCTTGATTCATCCTTCCTGTGCTACTCTCGTCTAGTGGATGTTTCTCAGTCTGATGTGAGCCTGTTCTTCTTCTCCCTCGGCTTCTGTCTTTTGTAGCTGCTATAAATCCAGAGCCGTGTCGAGGTGAGCCTTCGGTTGATCTACGCTCGATCTGACAAGGAGCGCCAAGAAAGTGGGAAAGCGCCCCCAGCGAAACCCCCCACGCTTTCAGGTGCCTATCCTCACCTCTGCTCGCCCCTCTCGGATACCCCCTCCCCCTCTCTCCTTCTCCCCTCCTCCTCCTCCTCCTAGTTTTCCTCAGGACGTAGAAGACAGCCCGGCTCAAGTGCACGTCGGGGGGAATTAGACGCTAGCAGACAATTTGATTTCTCAGTCTTCGAGGCTTCCACAGACGGCACAGGCTCCAGCAGCAGGTTTTAAAGGCAGAGAGAAGGGAAGAGACGGGGCACGATTGGATTCATGATATCAGCGCTAATAGAGACATGCCAGAAAAGAATTAAGATGAGAATTTGACATAAAAGTCGAAGGGAGATCGAGCGCAGTTTGAGGGAGGGTGGGGGAGTAGTAAGTGTGGTACTAGTTTTTGTATGTATTCCTAGACATGAAAGAAAAATGAATGAAAAAAAAATTTAAAACAAACTTATTTTAGAATAGTTTGAAAAGTTAAACTTGGATCATATTTTCCACTTGTACTTGTCATAGAGAAGATAAACATAGAATTAAGCGAGAAAACTTAGTGTTTATAGTCTGTGCGTGTATACAGCTGCAGACAGTAGAAATAAAAAATAGCTACTAAGGAATTCCACTCACTTTCAGATGGACCGGCGTCTGAATATATTTAGACATTTTCCAGTGTCCCTGATTCAGAAAATCTGGTTTGTGTGTAAAACAAAAAACAAAAACAAAAAAAACTGTAGCCGCACAGACCCTTCATCACGAAACAGTATAAGTATAAACCAGCTATTTAATGTGTGCTTTTTAGCTTAAAGATTTATGATAGATATTTTTATCCCATAAAGTTTGGTCAATCTACTTACAGCAATGTATTACACTTCAAAATGTGTTATCATGGCAGTACTACCTGTAAGTAAATATAGTATTATTGAAACTATTTTATGCTACTGATACAATAACCCAAGAGCAGATTTAAACCACAAAAGATATTCTAAGTGTACAATATGGTAAAGAAAATCATGACCTAAAATATATAAACAGCAGAATTAAACACTTTAGTAATTAGTTTGCATCTGTAATAGAAGTTATGTATTCAACCTTTTACAGCTTAAATCTTAACATATAGGCAACCATAATCAAAAATGTCCCAGTAGTGCAAAGAAAATGTACACACAATAAATACTGATCTTAAAAATGCCACAAATATCACAAAGGCTGCATTGTGATTGCTGTCTCCTCAGTTGCCGTCATCCACATAATACAAAAATAGGTTATCTTATAATGCTGTCCATTAAATGTATAGCTGATCTATTCTACATTATAAGATTGCCATAGCCACCTTGAAACTCAAGACAAATCTTTTAACAGTTAAATAAAATCAGGAAGGAAAGGTAATAAACAAAGAATCGAAACTAAGCGTCAGAGTCTGAGAAAGGCCAAAGACAATAGAGGAGCCACTTAATGTAGTCCACCCACTCAGCTCTGTCCAAATGGGCTGATTGACGCCTGTTAGCTGGTTTAATAGCCGCCATAATGGACCACAGTTCAGTGGGCGATGAGACACAGAGCCACCCCGACCAAAGTAACTCGATTCTGGGGTTTCTACTCTCTCCTTTCAGCCTCTTTCAGCAGGTCGGAGATACCGCACACATGCAGCTCTTAGCCTTTTGCTCCCGCACACAGATAGATTTACAAAGCCACAGAGGAGCGCAGAGGTGAATTATGGGTAGTGCTGTCGACCTTGTGGTGGAGTAATGTCCGTGGGAGCTGTGTGGGCACTGTACATTATGCGGGTTACGGACAGGACTGCTGCTCGGTGGATTTTAGAAGGCCATGAGGACAGGGCTGAACACTATTTGAGCAACAACAACAAAAGAAAGCACAATCTGTTTTCTCTCTCTCCATTCGACAGAAAATTACACTGTCCATATGATTCCTCTATTATAGCCTCCAATAAAATAAATTCCCTTTTTATACTCTAGTATTGTGTAGTACAGGTCAATGTGCTATAAAATGTACATAGAATATACATAGAATTAAAAAAAAAAATAATAAAATTTAATACATTTTTACTGGTTTATCCCAATGACAATCATTTTTTGCTTAATTGGTAGATGGAGACATTCACATCTAATACAATTTGTGACTGCATTTTGGGTCCAGAGGCAAACATTGTGCAAAAGAAAAAACAGATCTGCACTGCGGGTCTTTGGAGCTCCTAAACATGTCTGAAGAAAAGCTTGACCCTGAAACATTACATTTTGGTGCCATTAAAATAAAAATTTTGGAACGCCAACAAACTGCAGTAAGGATCTGTTTTTAATTTTGCACATTAATTTTTTGCAATCCATCGGAAATTCCCTAAAACATAGCTGCAAATGACTTCTTTTCTTAGAATTTTTATGTATTTTTTGTTTTATATTTGACAATATACTGCCCACCTCTTAAGAATTCAACTTTGTGAGCACAGTTTTTATTCAGACAAAAATGTAAATATTTTCTGATGCCACAACAGCAGATGAAAAGCACTGATGATTTTGTGAGTATAAGAAGAGTAGCTGGAGCTGTGTTAAAAGGCAAGTACAAAAGGCCTGTTGGACACTGTGCTTTGGGGCATGTATTTAAATGAGCCCACATCAATACACTTAACATAAATAATACATTCAGAGCACAGAGGAGATGATTGTTGTGTTAAAAGGCCAATGGTAGCACGCTATTTTAATGTAATATCTTGACCTCTGTTTTATTATGCATTCAGAATATCCACGGCTGCTTCAGTTGTTTTTATGCAGCTTCTAATTGATTTTAAAACTAGTATCAAAAGTACATTTGTGTAGGTATTTATAAAAAATGCATAAAACTGGCGTAGTTGAACCTTTTCTGAATAGTTTCAGATGGCTCTTGATCTACGTCTGAACTCATACATAGTAAATAGATAGAAAGTACTGTTATTTTGTGTATGTATTTGTCATCATTGTTGTAGTGAAATTGGTATTGGTGATATATAAGCTAGTAATATGGTCACAAATTGCTAAGTTACTCTACGCTATTGCTATTTTTTTGCTTGGATATGTGTGGTGTGTGGTTTTGACTGTTGTCTAACACAAGACTGTGCTACAGATGGTGGATGGACAGTGTGGAGAGTGACAAGATGTCCGCCTCAATCTGTCTGTGACCTGTGTGGAATCAGGACACAAATAAGGAAGACAAGATACACCAACAGATATGATTAAAGGGTCCATATTACACTATTTTCTGATCTACGTTATAATGATGTTTCTTCCTCAAAAACATACCTGGAGTTGTTTTGTTTCATTCACACATGTTTAACACACAATCAGAGGAGCAGAGCATTTTCAATCAGAAAATGGTAGCTGTTAAGTTGAAAACTACCGCTTCATAACCTCACAATGTGGAAAAGAGTGTTTTGACATGTGTGAATGAAAAAAAACACAACTCCAGGTATGTTTCTTAGGAGGTAACAACATTATAACATGGCTAAAAACTCACATGAGTCAATTTTGCATAATATAAAACCGGATTGTCAACATCTAATTATAAAAAAATGATTGCAATCAGAAACTTGTGTGAGAGAGTTGGTCCACTGTCTTTCAATTTGCCGTCTGACTACAATAGTACATACTATTATGAACAGCTTTAGAATAGCTTTTTCAAACTGCCCTGAGGTAGCTTGACATGATATTCATACTAGGCAGGGTGAGTGAAGTGTCTTGCCTAAGGGCACAACAGAACTTGGCTTGAGCAAAAATCTATCCTTCACCCTTAAAATAAAAATGGAATCTTGAAGCAGTAATGATATCCAGGAATGATTACCTTTACTTGCATTTGCTTTAAATGAATACCGTTTTTTTTGCCCTATTTGCCATCTGTCTATCTTGTCTAAAATGGCTGTCCTCTCACTCAGAGTTCACTGTTGTCTTTGTTGTTTTAGCCCAAAAATATTTCTCTGCATGTTTCCCCCACCTCTTCACCTCCTGGACATCTCAACCACCTCCAGCTGTGGGTTGCCAGGTCCACAGTGCCCCCCACAAAAGCCGGTTGCCAGATTGGAACAGCCCATGCAGTGCAGAGGGGGTCTGAGGCTGCCTATGGCCTGGTGCCACGCTGGGCCCTGTTATTACCTCCAGATGACATCAGCCTGTGCAGCAGATGCCTGTTTGGCCACAGGGCCCACAGAGAGAAAGAGTCTCTGGTGAGTTTATATGAGAATGCTGCTAGAAAAACATGGCAACATGAAAATATAGGATTTATATAGGAAATATAGGAGTACTGCCCAGAGACAGTAAAAATGACGCAACTATTTACAGCACATGTCTTAAAATGAGTCAAATTCAGAATGCTTATCTTAATTTGAGAATAAGTTTTGACAATGTTAGATTGAATGGTGACGTTTAATATTTCACTAATTTTGCAACATACTGAACTGAACTGTAATTTAGCTCTGATTGATAATTTTACTTGCCACATTAAGATAAATATGGCTATCTGCTTCTTCTTAGAGTTCACAGGTCATGGGTTAAATCCACCTGTCACTCGCTCAGCGTGACAGATTATTAGAAGTTGATGAGGAAAAGTAATTGACAGTGAGCCTTTATTTGCATTGACTTGCATTAAATGCAAAGATGCTATATCACAAATATTGTAACTTCATCAATACATTGTGCACAGTCTACAGTCCTAAGCTGATTTCATAAATATCAATCGCTTTCACGATTCAACACATTTCTTTCCTGGTACCGTTTTAGGTCAAGTTTATGTTATCCAAATCTTATATTGTTCACATAAGACTAGAGATGCACTTATTCAGCTTTTTCAAATCTGCTAAAGATTTTGATAGTATAGATTTAAGTATCTGCCGACACCCACGTAATTGATACCAGTGCAGAGATTGATTGGTACTTATTTACTTTATACAAAAATAAAATAAGACAGAACTGCTCCAACTGTGTGATGTAGCTGGTATTTATACCTCAAGTAACCACCCAATAGCATAGTATTATGATATTAAACTTTCTATCCCAACGATGAGTAAATAGTCTTATTACATCAATACATCTCCAACCAGTATATTGGATGAACCAATATCTGATTCAACAAATTTTAGTATCATTTTTGCTATTCAATACCTGTAGTGGATCGTTTCATCCCTACATAAGACCTAGGTTATGTACCTCATATGGCCATTAAATACTGAGTCCAGTGTGCACATATCACTTCACAATATAATCACGCACGCTGGAGCAGTCATATGCTTTTAATAACACACATCTTTCGTTCGCTTCGGAGGGTAAATAAACACGCAAGGAAGGACATCATAATAAGCCCCACAGACCATTATAATGCAGCTAATTGACAGCAACAATCACAGAGGAATTGAATGCATCAGTCATTTTCATATGAGCCACACAAACACAGAGCTAATGCCTCGAGATGAAGCTGTTAATGATCACATTTATGTGGGTCACCTGCTCCTCGTGTGTGGCTTTTCTCTGAGCGGAAGAAGCAGATTACAGCGGCCCGTTCAGATGAAAGCACTCACTGATCTCTGCTTTATGCCACCACTGCACAGGCATTTCTCTGTCTGTCACCTCACTACACACCGTATTATGTACTGTCTATCTCAACCTCAACCTATGTAAGCATGTGTGAAAAATTTTGGTATGATTGTATTTTGGCATGAGCAACATGTTGGTAATAAGTGTTTTTAAATTATTCCTTTCAAGTTTCTCAAAACACATAATTCATTCACTGCTCAGTCTCGGGCCTGGGGCTGAATGATGAAACATGGCTTTTAAAATTAAATCTTTCGAAACTTTGTAAACACTGATTCTTGCCTTTTTAAATGTGCTTTTTGAACTTAAAATAACCACACTACAGATATTAATTACCACGTAGCTGTAACCTGGTTAGCCCCCGCAATGTCTTTGAAAACAAAATGTATATTGGCATTTTCACCATTGTTAATAACGTGGCTACCACTGTAACTGTGCTGATATTTTCCAGTATGTGGAATTTGTTCTGGTTAGTATTCAGTACACATTGACATACGCTGGAGACCTGCATTGACTTGTAGCCGTTTCATTGTGGATTATTGAATTACAGAACCTATTTAACTCTTTGCATACAGTCTACAATACATTTACTATCACCTCACTTCAGCCTCATCCCTCTAGGTTATTATACGGTCTCTCCCCGCTCCCAGCAGTTCAATGGAAGAGACAGACAGAGGAAATGATATTTGTAATCAGACGAAGAAGAGGGGATCTTTATTAAAGTGGGGGTGGGCTCATGGCGGTCTCTGGGTTCACGCCGTCGACAGGGTTTATAATGGCCTCTGTCTGTTGTCATCATATTAAACCTGACTTATTCTCCCCCATACAACCCCTTCTCTTCTCCTCTGTGCAAGTCCCTCAGGATTTACCTGCTTGGCTTTTTTAGTGAAATTGACACTTTTGTAGTAAAGCTGAAAGATTAGCTGCATTTAAATTGAAATTGAAAATCGAAATGTTGCAAGTGGCAAGGCAATCTTGAGTTAAATGTCCCGTCTTCAGCAGAGAACAAATAATTTATCTAGGTTGTTATATGAAAATCACTTTACTCAGTTTAGAAGTGCATTTGCTTTTTCTATGGGTTTAGGAGTTAAAATATTTAAAATAATTAGTTAGGAAAACATGATCTAAAATGCATCTGATTGGCCAGGTAATATTTTATAGCTCTCTTTAATGCTACTGTATGTATTTAAAATATTTCCAAATATTTATTAAAAAAATATATTTTTTATACCTCTTATTTGTATTATATATTCTCTCCTTTAGTGCTAGATTTGTCTCTTCGCTTAGAAAATTATTTAATTCCCGTGGGTTGCTTGCCAGGCTCCTCCATAAAAGCGGTAATGTGATGATCTCATACAGTGTGGCAGGTGGAGGATGAGTCAAAGCAAACCATTTAGACGCCACAAGAATATACGCTGTAAAGGCTTTAGATCTGCTCTCGATTTCTTTATAAAATAATATTTACAGTGACAAAATAACTAACAGGTTACGTAACAATGCAAATGAAGTTTAAAATCAGTATTAAAATCACATTAAATTATTGTAAATTCTATTGGGCCAAATATATTATGTTTTTGCAGTCAGTATTTTGTATGTGAAAAGTTGCATTCACAGCAGTGTAGTACTATGTACTACTTCATTATGAATGTCTTTTCATGGATCTAAGCTTCCTGTCAATAGGCACCATTTTGTTTTCAAAAGATAAAAATATTTATTTTTGAACTGTTGGTCACCATCGCAACACAAATTTTTCATCACTCTGAAACCCATATACAGATTTATCTAAAGTTTTGTAAAATGTAAGTAAATTGATCATCTTTAGACACCTTTTTCTCTGTATGGGTTTTGTGGGCACATAGCTGAAGCTTTCGTTGATAACAAAGCACCTCAGGCCTCTTCAAATGGCTCCACTCTAAGAGATCTTATCTTTTAGTTGAAAAAAAAAAAATCATAACGTTTGAAGGAAGGTCAGTCCTCTTCATCAAATGAGAAACATTTCCCCTTTTTGCCACAAATACAGCTGCATTTGTTGCAATAGCAGCTTCTGTGCTTGAACTCGAGAAAAGTAAAACGTAATTTAATGACCTTAATACAAAATGAATTTAGCATCTTCTTGTATTAGACAAGCCTTAAAATGTGCTTTGTGCTGCATAACAAAATGATAAAGATGAAGCAGATGGAGTTTCCTCGAGATACTGTGCAAAAGACATAGATGTACACCATATTTTACTTTATAGGAAGTCCTTTAAGATTTATAGTAAAAAGTAAAAATGTATAGAGTAAAATATATGGTTCGGGGTTTCTATGCTGTCAGTGTGTCTGAAAAACGTGACGAGTAGCTTTTTATCATGTAATGCTTTTGTTGAGACCCGGGTTTTGAACTGGAGAGTTCCCAGCCAGTCTCTGACACAAGTAGGGGGACTTCATTGAAAAAAGAGTTAGGGCATCTGACTTAAACCCACACACATATGAGAGATAGAGGTGAGTGGCTTTGGTGAACTGTGAGTAAAAAAACTGAAAATGAAAGATTTTAATAAAATCCAGGCTACTGTCCGTGTGTCAGACTCAGAGGCAGTTATTGCTCGAGCAGCACGTGATGAGGTGATAAGGTTTGGCAGTTTGGAGGTTTCATTTCTGGTCTTCCTTTGACAGGATTTATTTGTTTGAAATCTGCCAATAAACTATGAACCCTCCTCTCTGTGGCCCCTCCTGGATTTGAGCTCTATTCATTTCAGATGACAGACAAGGCATGGATGAGTGTGCTCATGATACAAAAATTTCAAATAAATTTTGAAACTAAGGAATGGCTCAATGTCAGTTTCGAACTGTGATATATATACTTTTTTTTTTTAAAGTAGAACAATAGGATGTAATTTTCCACACAACTAATAGTCGTTTCAGTAATTATCATGTTATACTCAGTATTGTTAGGGAAAATAAGTGTTGTGATAATGAGTTGTGGAGTTGTACAAAGGCAGAGACTCTGGAGTCTGAGGCAGGAGAAGTTTATTTACCATCAGTTCAGGACCCAGTGGACATGAATACTCAACACTGCGCATAAGTATTGGCTATTCATGTCTGGCTATGCTTCCATGCAAGAAGGTTTAAATAGGAACTAAGAAGGACAGCTTGGAGACAAGCTGGCCGAGATAAAATGAGAAGTGCATTGCATACCACTTCTGTGAGACGAGTTGACCAAGGAATGTTAAAGGACAAATTCTAGTTTGACGCCAGAGCTAACCACAGAGAAATGTCAACAGTGAACTGGAGTTGTCATTTCTAAGTCTATGCAGGGATGCAAAATTCCACAACAGGTATCAGGACCATTCTGAAACTATTCAGACGAGGCAGTTTAGTCCAGTTTGTGTTTTCTCTCAGTATCAATTTACTAGTTCAAATGAGTATCTGGTTGGAGGCGGAAGAATTAATTTAGACCTATAATTATGAAATACTTTTAATTGAATGGTGCATTTTTGTCTGCTTGCATAAAAGAAACACAATTGCAACTAACTTGCTGTAGAGTACTGTTGCTCTTTAACCCTGTTATTCTCAGAGTAACCGACCATAGTCAGTAGGAGGAGGATTACACTCATTTTATTTAGGCAAAAAACATCTATTATCGTGTTAAATAAGTGTAAGAAGAACACTGTGTTCTTGTTCGTACACCTGAAATACTGGCAGTGCCAACTACCTGTAATAAGCTGTTATTATATTATTATCATATGTGATAATCATAGGTGTCTTTCACAGCTTGTTAATGCTCATTAAATGGATTACCAACTTTTCAAAAGCAGTTATCCCTTGAGTTTCCACGTGCTTTCAAAATCACATGTAGTTGGATAAGGAACATGATCTTGCAATCAGCCACCATATGATATACAGACATTAGTCTTGGAGTGCAATAATCATAAAGAAAATAATTCATAGCTTATATTAAAATTCTCTGGAGATAATAAATATAGGAACATAATATGTATACATATATTTATTGTAAAAGATGTTTTCATTGCTCCAGTCCGTGTGCTTCTTCCCACCACTCCCTCTGTGTTGTGTTTAACAGATCATAGTTGTGAAGCCAAACTTATCCCCTGTATGTTGTTGCTCTCCTTCCAGACTATCACAGTTCAGTTATGGGGCAGTGAGTATTCATTTGGCTGCTGTGTTACATAAGCCCAATTGCATAACATGTTCTAGGTTACGGTGACACATTTTATGACCGTATCAAAAGGCAAATGTTATATGTTACACGAGAGCTCGCCTGGATTCACAGTTGAAGCACAAACTCTACGTGAGAAGAGCTCGGGGCTGCTCCAGAAGTGTTGTTTTTACTCAGGGCTGTATTATCACTGTGGTGCTAAATCAAACTGTAATTATGGACTTGTCCCACAGATGGATGACAGTGTTTAAACAGAGGAAGCCAAATGTCTCAATAAACCAAGTTCACCTTTCACTTTCTTGCATCAGCAGAAATCAGCAATATCCAGGGCTCTAAATCAAGTTTACAATACAACACTCACCACACATCATTTGAAAAGTGAGACGCTATGTTTACTGCCAATACTGTCATTTTCAGTTTGGGAACATCTCTTTGGGGCATGAGCAAAATTCATCAGAATTCACACTTCGTCAATACTGAGTCTGGTCACTGTCTCCATGTTTTCAAATCTCCTTGTTTTCAAATGGGCGTGACTGACAGATGGATTAGATTGACAGACCATCTGTGTCTCTGATTGGCTAATCCAATGTCAATTTCAGAAAAAATAAAGGAAAAAATATCACTGGGGTCTGAAAAACATGTAATTTTTGCAAAAATCAATGAGCAAAGCACTAAGCTCTGTTAATCTGAGGTGAGATAAATTTGATTTTATTTGTAAATCGTATGCAAACAATGAGCTCCTTTGTTTCACTGCATCGCCAAAAAAAAAAAGATTCTGAATGCACAATTACGTTTGTCCAAGACGTCAAGGAGGGCGTGGGGAACTGACTGATATCAATTTGTCTAAAAATACAGAGAGATCACCCTGGATTTACCAAACAATGAACAAAAGGTATTGCCAGAAAAGATATAAATAAAATAACTAACTTGTATATAAATGTAGGCTACTACATAAGATGAATTTGTAAGAGTTTTTTTTATTACATTTAGGGCTAAACTGGGATCAAACCAGGAACAGACTAGGTGACTCAAGTGTAAGGGAAGCTTTATATATTTATTTTTCCGTTTGTTTTTAGTTAAACACTTACCTGCATTTAGGGTTTAATAAGAGACACTGAGCGACATGTACCATTGATAGCTGTTACAACACTGATGTGTTGTATAATAACAGGTGTATAATAAATGTAACTAGACATAAGTTATTATTATTATTGTTATATCATATTCTCTTTGCCAGCCTTTTTGAAATTCATGTCTGTGTTTTCAGGATTTGAGCCTTGGGAGATCTTCTATTGTTTGACCAAAGAAGAGCCAGCTAAATCCAACCCAACCCCTGTATACACTGCTGATGGTAAAAACTGTAATCAGTTATCATGTTGTTATACCACCTTGTGATTTCATAAAGCAATAGTTTTCAAGTTAACAGCTATCTTTTTACGTTTTGGTCAGTGGACATTGGCTATTTCAGGATCAAAATTATCTAAGTGATTCATGTGAAAGTGTGTGGCGTTTAAAAACATAGTGGAGCACTTCAGTATTACCCAGTAGCATCACAAGGTGGAGTGTTTTCTGTCTGAGAGAAGACTTGAGGCTAAAAAGGTTTGCGAGTTAAATGATATAATATAGATCAGAAAATAGTGTAAGGGCCCTTTTTAAGTATTGATAATTGTTCAGATAGGTATGTTTTTTTAATACTAGTTTTAAATAACTGGGTTTTGATTCTACAATCCTAATATAAAACTTTTAAAAAGTATGTAAAATATATGTATTGAAACGTTCCCACTAGACTGTGTCCACAACTGTGAACAAATATTAAAACAGTTGCTCTGCCTGTTTGCTCTGCTCATGACCTTGTCCCATTGTAAATAAGTGTCAAGACATTCTGGCGACATCCCAACCTCGCAACACATGCAACCCTACACCTGTAACAGGCGACGCAGGCTACACTGTCTGAATCACACAATGTGCTCACTACAGCTGTGTAAATATGAGCTCGCAGTAATGACATGAAGAATGCGTTTTAGAGCATATTTTGATTAGGTTTCATTTTCCAGGTACATTTATTAGACTGACATGGCAGGAAAATATTACATGTTAATACTGAAATCTGTTAATCACAACATCAGAAAAAATATACAATCTCGTAAAAGTTAGAATTATATTTATCCAATTGTTATTTTTTGTACAGTTATAATGTTAACACAAATTAAGTAACCTTGACTGTTGTGCTTTGGTTTTTTTGTCACTTATTTCAGAAAGTCAAACCCATATAGTTTATTTTTTGAATTTTTATGATTGTGGCTTACAGATAATGGAAAAACAGAATTAGAAAATTAAAATATTACATAAAATCAATAAAAAATTTAGCAGTTCACATGTTTAAATTCTTGTCACGCCACAAGACATATTCACATTGTATTATTTTTTTGGCCATGGACCTTGAGTTTCCTTTTGAGAGGATTTAAAGGGTAAAGTTTGGCTCCGTTTAAGTCAACAGAAATCCTCCACCCATTGACACTAATCTTTGAGCTGATCTACTTGTAACTACAACATTGTCAACACATTTTGAAGTATGATTAATCAGCTATGGATGACCTTAACGGCTAAACATACCACAAACTGAAAACATCTCTCAACAAAGGACAGTTTTCAGTGGATACATTTGTCAAGTTTGTGACAATACACACAAAACAGGTCAACACTATTTGCAAGTAATTTAGTATGCCTTCAAACCTAGCCTAAGGCCATGCTAACAATCTTTTTTGCTTTTAAATATGTTTTTCTTTTTGCTAATTGTTTGATTAGATTTTAAGTTTCATGGTGAATGCACAGTGAAAGGAGCCTAGTTGGTTTGTAACAGAAAAATCCACAAATACAACTACAGGTATTAGGTCTATAGTGCCACCTTGTTTATCATACATAGTCTGTTGACATTCAAATACAAAGTTAATAAACTAGTATGATAAATTAAGAGAAAGCGTATTTGTACTTCATGTATCTTCAGTAGTATACCTAAAGAATATTGTTTGTCAAACTAAACAATGATGCAAAGGATTGTGGTTTACAGACGCATTATAGACCCAGGCACTTACCATTTTATTTTACTGTTTATTTTCCAAGAATCAGAAAGTGCACGGTTAATATGGTAATTGTTGTCAGCTTAAGCCAACTCATCGCAGTCAGTAATTGGGATGCCCTGAATACATAAGATAAGTGAGCAACAACTCTGGACCTGCAAACTGATTTAGTTCTGTTTTTCACATTTTATTTTTTACCGTTTTCCCTGTACTACCATCTGTTTAAACCTAAGACATAATCCTTTATATTGTTTAACTGCTCTTCTGCCGATACCATCTGTTTGAAAGTGGTCCAGTGTGGGCTTTTGACACCAGCTCAGATCTTGAGTCCTGGCCTTTTGAGCTGTACTAGTTTCATTACTGCATTAAGCTGCTTTGAATGCCATAAAAGACAATGGCCCAGAGTCATTGGCCTTGCCCGCACAACCACATTTTTAATAGGTATTGACTCCCGGTTTTAGCCGCGCTCTCAGCACGCTTAAAAGCCTATGTTTCACTGATTAGCTAATTAAAACCTAGAGTGAGGCCTATTGATCGAAGCCAGGGCTGTCAGGAGGCATCTGTCTGCACCGGAGCTGGACACAATACACTGTCTTTTCTCTTATGCAAAACAAACACGAATGGGGAGAACATTTGGTAGGTTTACAGTTGAAAAAATGAAATAGCAATTGACTAAAATGACTTCAGTAACTTCTTACAACAGTAGTTGTTATATGATCTTTTCTGTGAAATGTGCAGCTTTCGAAATCAATGATGCAATGATAAGGAAATCTAATATTATTTTTGTAACAATGAGGCTGCTGTAATATTAGCTTCAATAGAATAGTGTAGTTGTATTGATATAGTTGTACTTTGAGTTGGGTTTTAGTTGAGCTTTAGACCTTTTTAAAAACACTAAATTACATTTGTCTTTGTTGTTGTTTGTTTAGAAAAAGAAGACACCCTTTTGCTTAAAAAGTTTTATTAAAAAATATATGTCTTGTGGACAGGACATACCCATTTTTAACAATATCTCATTTTTTTTCTAAAATAATTTATTTTAGTTTTACTCTGTTTTATGTCTCTAAACTGGTATTGGGAGATACTTGAAGAGTTTGATACTATAGCTTTATCAGAAAAACTGGATTGGTGCATCCCTAGATTTAAAACATCTTCCTAAAAACAGCTCTTGAAATTGATTTGTTGTGCACGCTGACACACTCACACCTCTTCCATTAGACCTAAAAGCTCCACACTTCTTCTGATCTATATATCGGCTCAGAGCGTGCGTTGTCTCTTCTATTTTAAGGACATCTGGAGTTTCGGAGGCGGTGGCCATTTTAGAGGTCCTTTAGAGTCCTATCAGTGCCTGCCACAACACGGTAATGGAGGTATTTATATCTGCGATCAGACACATGATGGTCGCTGATTACAGGTTTGGGCTGTGGAAAAAACTCTTCACATGTCAAATATCCAGGGCTGTCTGTGTCTGTGCACCTCGTATTAAAGTACCACAATGATATCATCAAAGTGATATGAGACAGACGACAAGTGAAGAGCAGTGTTAAATGCATGTTCAATGTGAAATCACAGGGTTTGGTCAAATCAGGAGGAGTGGGTTAGATCTAGGTCACTGAGCAAACTGTAAATGTGTTTAGTGCTGGGATGAGACCAGGTACTGTTAAATGACAAATACTGGCACTATATTAAGAGGTGAAAACACACAAGGTGGTTTTAGATGAAAGATTTTGTTTTGTTAATAATGTTGCTAAAAGAGATTTGTTTTAAAAATATGTATATTTTTTACTTTATAACCTTGTTTGAAATGTATTTCAGGAGCTTTGTGGGTAGTTCACTTAATTTCATTTCTCTCAGTCAGGAATCGAAATACACTAGACGATTCACAAAAACCCCGGAAGTGCGAGTTCGGGCACCAGCCAATCAGAGAAGAGCCATATATTCAGTGTTGTCAATGATTCCCGAGATCGAGGATAAAGCCGGAATAAAGGGAATGTTTGGTGAATTTCATCAAAGGGAAAGACGTTATTGCCCCAGTTAGCCCCATTAGCAGCGCATTACATACGTGACTACCAAGTAGCAGCGATTGGTTTAATGATAAAAAAAATACCCGCCTACCATGGAGCGAACGAATTCTAACACTGCGAGGTCAGACGGTTTCTACGAAGTGAAACTGCCTGATGAATCGGGCTAGTAGTTTACAGCCTTAGTTGCTCAACTAATAAATTTAAAGGCATGTATTAGCACATTTCTGTTTTATAGCCAAAATATCTTGTGATTATGCTATAGTCCCTCTCAATTTCAAGTAGTGAGTATTTGGCATAACAAAAGTGGGAACCTACAGTGTGAGGTGCTGTTGTGACCTTGGCCAAGAGATCCTATTACATTTCCAACTCTTGTGATGTTTTATTACTTTTTAAATCTTTTAAATCTTGGTCAAGGTTTAAAACTTGACAAACATCATATGACACCAAACTTATTTCCTAAATCTCTCCACAAAAGTGAAACAAGCAGGTTACAGCACGACTCTACATTACAATTCAGATCCGTGGAGAGTCTCCCCTATTCACAGAAGGAATTATTGTATTTTTGAGCAATGAAAGCACATATATGCTAGAGTGACAGAACATTTATTGTGCTTGAGCTTCCTATATAGTTATAATCTATGACATCCGTGGATCATTATGTTAAAATTTGCACATTTGAAATCTTAAAATTCATCTTAAACGACTTAATTAAAGAAATGGTCCACACACTGTGGCGTTAGAAAAATGCTGTGCCCAGTGGGAGCTAACATGACTGTAAATGTCATCACAACACAAATCTGTACAAATGTGGATTTACATACTCCACGCTGAAGGAAAACAGTGAGAACAAGGTTTCTCTCTCTGCGACACACATGGTGAGTTTTTCATGTTTCCACTGGAGTCAATGCAAATGGTCCATGTCTGTCCAGGGCAGTGTGCACTTATCGCCACATTCACGCTTATACAAGCTGACACGCCCGCTCTGCCTCATATGTACCACTGAGATGATTTAATAAAATGATCCACAGTCAAAAGAAACACGGATGCAGCATTAAAACCAAATATTAGGTTTGTTAAAGCTGGGCTCTTGCAAGGCACGCCCACATCGCCCCATGTTGTTGTCACCAAAAGATCCAAAGGCAGCTCCTATGTATAGCTGTCATACCATGGAACATTCCAGGTGAAGCATTAACATCTCCATGGAGACAAGGAGGTAGCAGACCCTCTACCAGAAAAGTTAAACAGTACAT